TGATGCACACTGACCACCAGGGGGCAGATGCTCAATGCAGGAACTGCCCCCTGGTGGTCAGTGTGCTCCAACAGGGGGAGCACTGCTCAGCCAGAAGTTTGGCTCACATCTGGTGAGCAAAGTGGTGGTGGCGGGAGCCTCTCCCGCCTCCACAGCAGCACTAAGGATGTCCGACTGCCTGCTTAGGCCCACTCCCTACGGGTCTAAGCCAGCAGTCAGACATTCCCGAGGGCTCCCGGACTGCAAGAGGGCTCAGACCAGGCTGAGGGACCCACCGGAGTACACGAATTTCGTGCACCAGGCCTCTAGTAGGACCATAATGGACATTTGTATGGCTAAAGCTTTATGTGCAGCCATGATATTTTTAAGATAAATTCTTAAAAACATAATAAAAAATTTTAAGTTGTCTAATAATAACACAACAATACCATTAATATTAATGACAAGTATTCCTGGAAAACACTATTTGTCAAGTACTTTCTCAAGTACTTTATATTTACAACAGTCTCAGGACATCCTCATTTTTAAAATGAAGAAGCTGAGGTTTAGGAACGTAACTGAGCTCTCTCAAAAAGTGTGCTAGAAAATGGCAGATCGGGGATCCAAACTCAGGTCTATTCCTACAAACCATACTCCTTCCATTACACACATAAAAAAGAATTCCCTTCCTGTGCTATAATGAGTAAATGACTAGTGTTTTTACTAAAACAACTCAAGTTCAGTGAACCAAGGGATGCCACATTGGGAAGAGCTATAAAAGTCTTAAATTCAATCTTCATCTGGTATGTGAGTCATCACAACATTCCCTACAAGGATCACTTAACCTTGTTTACTTACCTTTAAAAACAACAAACTCTCTCTTCCTCAGCATTTCACCTTCAAACCACTCTAACAGTTAGAAAATTCATTTTTTCAAATAAAATTTCATTTTTATTCTGCCAACCATCAGAGCTAGGTTTCACAAAGACATTATCCTTCCTCCCTTCCATGTATCATCCACTCCCTATGCCCTATTTGGGGCTTCTTCTAGCCCAGGGTTCCTTTAACTATTCTTCGTACCTTAGACCACTGAGTCTCCTCACTACTGAGAAGCCTTCTGCTTACCATGCTCCAGTATGTATATCTTTCACAAGGCTGAGCATTGGTTGGGATATCAGAAGGAACATGCACGCATTAAGACTAAGGAGCATGATCAGAGTAAAGCTTACTCTAGACCAGGAGTGGGCAACCTTTTTGTGAGTGCATGCCAAAATCAGCAAAATCTCTGACTCAAAATTCTTATGTGTGCCAACTCTAATTTTTTGAGAACATGTTATGCCTACTTGATATCTCTTAAAGTGTACGTATGTGAAGAACCTTGAAGAAATAATAAAATTCATTCAAGCGACAAAAACACACTATATGATGATG